TTGATCAAATTTGGCATAATTATTTTCAGGCCTAATTTGGTTGTATGTGCAAAATTCCATACTATTCGGGCTGATATTACATGTTTGATGCACAATAAAAACCAAATCGGACGAAGACATATATGGAAGCTATATCTAAATTTTTACCGACTATCTCCAATTTCAATAGGGTTCGTTCTTGGGCCAAACAAATGATTTGTGCAAAATTTCATTTGGATAGGGCAATAAATGCGAACTGCACTTTGTTTACAAAAATACGTGGACAGACGGACGGACGAACATGACTAAATCGACTCAGAATGTGATTCTATGCAGATCATTAAAAGAAACTATGGGTCTATCTCTTTTCCTTTTGCCTGTTACAAACAAATGAACAAAGACGTTGCATGGGCCTATACGGTATCGTGGAACTATATAAACAATTCTCTTTCAGAGGGGGATAAAGTACTCACAGAGAACTCCTTGTATAGAATTTCAGAAAATTCCATTAAAAAATGAGGATAAAAATATTAAAATACCGAATGTCGAGAAAAACAGTTATATGGGGGTAAACGATATCGTGGACCTATATAGACAATTCTTTTTCAGAGGGTAAGGTAGTCACGAAGAACTCCTTGTGTAGAATTTCAGACAATTCCATTGAACAATGTGTTTAAAATCATCGAAATACCGAATATCGGGGTACCGTTTTATGGGGACTACACGATATCGTGGACCGATATAGCTCATCTACGAACTTGACCTACCTGCAGACATATCGGTGCAAAATTTTAGCTTCCTATCTATATTCGTTTTGACTCTAGTGTGATTACAACAGACGGACGGATGGACGGACTAAATCGTCTAAGAATTTTACGCTGATCAATAATATATTTTGTTGGGTCCAAAATTATTATTTCGATGAGTTACAAACGGAATGATGAAATTAATATACCCCCTATACTATGCATGGTGGAGGGTAGAAAAAAATTGAAGAGGGAGGATTCTACCCCCTCCTTATAGGTTACTTTGAAATGAAAACTTTCAAAACGGCGATACACTTGTTGTTATTTTTTGGTTCTATTTTCAAAATGTGCTGGATTTTTTTTTTGTAATATATTTTTTTGTAGCACAGTGTAATTATATATATTCAAAAAATTTAAATTTTAAAAATATTTTTTCAATGGCCATACAGTCTACGCTCGTAGATTTTTGTAAGACAATTTTGCAGAAAAAAATGTTCTCATTAAACCTACATTTCAAAACCATATATTTTCAGTATTTTAAAATCCAAAATGTTCACTAAAAATATATTCTCCGAAAATCCATGTTTACATGTTATGTATGACCACCCTGAGAATTTACCTCAACCATGAGAAATGTACCCTCAACCATGACAAATGTAAACATCAACTCTTTAGAAAGATAAATACAAAAAAACATATTTTTTGATACAACACAGAACTGTCGTAAATAAGTCAACACATTGCGAATCAAACAAAATTAATTACAAAAATTTTAAAAAAAACGAAACACTCGAGTCCATAGAACTCGCTGGTGACCTCAATGAAAGCATAAATGACGTCATTGAGAAAGAAAATAAGTAAAAACGAACAAATGTATGCTCCAATTAGACATACATACAAGCATACATGTGTATATGTATTTCTGTATGTATTTGAAAATGTTCTTCTCGCGGAAAAAGAATATTCTTGGAAATGCCAATATTTGCTCTTTCGAAAAGTTAATTTTAGTAAAAATGCTAAAACAAAAATTGTATTTTTTTCGATTCTATTTTTTCCACACTTCGAAAATTTGGTTGGATGGCTAAAGAAAATTGCAAAAAAAATGAAAGAGCAAAACGTACAGGGAGAACACAATTTCAAAACGAATGGTTTCCATCAAAAGTGTTGTGTATTTTTGTCAGGAAAAAAAAAATTTTTTTTCTCCTCATGAAAACAAAAATAAAATTTCGTTTTTAAACGTTTCGAAATAAGTTCCTTGTCTGTGGAGGCAGTGCATATTCGATGTTGTTGTTGCAAATCTTAAAAAAATACAACATTTAATATTTCAATGAATGTCGCATGTAATGAATATTTTGTGTGTGTGTGTGTTTGATTGTTTTTTTTTCTACTCTGTAATGCATTTGGTGCTGGCCTTGCCTGGAGGTCAGTTGTTACGTTTGCAAAATTGTTACTCATTATTTTCTGTATGTACTCAACAGGTAGGAAGAAGAGGCGTCGAAAACCGGATTCGCATAGGGGGAAGTTATTTTGAGTTGTGTCATTGCAATAAGATATCAAAATACTGGTAGTTGTGCCACTATTTTTCCGTAAACAGTTAAAATCTTTTACATCCAAATCATCCATCTTTTCTTGAAATTTCAGCACCCCTTACATTTAATTTTTCTCATCTCATCGAAATGCTGGTGTTTTCCTATGTGTCGATGTGCAGATATTTTAAAATAAGTAACTTAAAAAAAATGAGTTAGAGAATCCCACCACTTATATAATTGTAAAGAAAATCAGGAAAACATCTGAGTCTAGGACATGGCGCCCAATAGTTTCCGCATTTTTAAGCTATACTTCGGCATTTTTGAGGTCCATAAAACAGTATCTCCTAGGTTTCCATTATTTTAAAAAGTTTGGTTGTAAATTAATCAAATCACCTGTACTTTTATATGTTTAGCTCTCCGCGGTAAATAATTAATTTAATCCTTGCAAAAAATTGCACTGTGGGACAAATTTCAAATTTTTCAATAATTACAGGGAAAATCCTGCAGATTATGAAAATAGAGCTAGAATAAGAAGATAAGCCTTTCGATGTTTTGTAAGTTTACATCGAAAAGTAGCCAAAATAGAGGGGGCAAGATCCACTCTCCTCCAGACTATAGGAAATTTTGGGATTAAGATTCCTCGGAATCGGTGTATTATAGGTATATAGTGCCTTGCAGATAAATGAGGGATATTTTGGATGGCAATTTTAACCCTCATGCGGGTCAAAAAGAGAGGTATTTCAGGACCTTTTTTTAAAATATGATTAAAAACTCAATTTGAACGGCTTTGCGGCAAAACAAAATTTACTACAAATATATTTGCTATAAAATTCTACTAGAGGTCTACTTTCGACGTCTAAAATTTAAATCTTTAAACTAGGAATTTATGTATATTAAAAAAACATTTTAGGGTTAAAGCCCTACTTTGAGTGAGTTTATGCAAAAATCAAATGATGCTGAGAAGGCTGACGTCAGAGACAATAATATTCTGCATCAAATTTCACCAAAGAAAAGAAATCCCTATTTCCACTGCACATCAAAAAACTATTTCCATCAATTTTCCCAAAAAAAACAATTTCTATGTATTTTTTTTATACCCTCCACCAATATATTCTTGATCAGCATAAAATTCTGTCCGTTTGTGGAAATCACTCTAACTTCCGAACGAATTGAAGTAGATTGATAAAATTCTGCTCAAATTAATGTCATATCTGCAGGATTTTTAGTATTGAAAATGGGCCATGTAGGTCCACGTTTTGGTATAGCCCCCATATAACGGTACCTCCCGATATTCGGTATTTTGATGATTTAAGCGACATTATTCACCGGAATTGTTTCAAATTTGATATTTGAAGTTCGTAATGGATACTACAGCCTATGACAGAAAATTGTCTGTGCAGGTCCACGTCTTCGTATAGCCTCCATATAACGGTACCTCCCAAAATTCGGTATTTTGATGCTTTTAGCGACATTATTCACCGGAATTGTTTTAAATTTGGTATTTAAAGTTCGTAATGGATACTACAGCCTATGACAGCAAATTGTCTGTGCAGGTCCACGTCTTCGTATAGCCCCCATATAACGGTATCTCCCGATATTCGGTATTTAAATGATTTTATCGACATTTTTCACCAGAATTTTTTCAAATTTGGCATTTAAAGTTCGAAATGGACACTACAGCCCAAGACAGAAAATTGTCTGTGTAGGTCCACGTCTTCGCATAGCCCCCATATAACGGTATCTCCCGATATTCGGTATTTTAATGATTTTATGGACATTTTTTCACCAGAAATTTTTCAAATTTGGCATTTAAAGTTCGAAATGGACACTACAGCCTATGACAGAAAATTTCCTGTGCAGGACCACGTCTTCGTATAGCCCCCATATAACAGTACCTCCCGGTATTGGGTATTTACCGAAATATAATACAAAATTTCGGTAATATTTACCGAAATTTTGTATTTGAACCCTATGCCAGAAAATTGTCTGTGCACGCTTAAGACAAAAGTTGCGTATGCAGGTCCACGTCGTCCTATAGGCCCTAATACACAGCTACATTCGGTATTTTTTAAGATTTTAACAAAATTTTTAATGGATTTTAATTTTTAAAAAAAATGCCAAATTTGTACCTAATGGTGGAGGGTATTCAAAGTTCGACCCGTCTGAACTTACAGCTTTTTTACTTGTTTTTTAATATAATCCTTCTCGAAGTGATATCATGCACTCTATAGCAATCCTATTTATAAGAAAAAATGTCTCCGTCAAATTTAGGGAAAATCGATTCAAAATTGGATATGCCTGCCATATATTAGTTCCCTCTGAAACCAAAATATAGCTGATCTAATGCCAAATGTTGATAGGTGGTTTGACCTACTTCAAATAAACTATTTTGTTACCGAAGCTCTACTAAATTTGTATGGTGGTATAGGGTATTATATAGTCGGTCCCGCCCGACTTTTGACTTTTCTTTACTGGTCTTATGTTTTTTTAATTAAAGGACCTTTTGTGGCTGAGGCCAATGTTAAATTTTTATTTATTTCCATTATCTCGCAATTGTATAATTTACATCTTCACGGAATTCTGCAAGGTGCAAATTATACATTTCCGAAATATTGGAAATATTTCAATATTTAACACTATCTTTAACTTCCAAAAAAAATGTTTTTATTATAAATTATTTATTTTGAAAATTCATCCTTTATCTCAACACCTTTTTACTAAGAATATGAATTTTATTTCATTCCAGCTCTCTCTCCCCGCCCGAATCCCACCTTTTATCAGTTTGCTCTCTTTTTATCGCGCTCTCTCTCTCTAGTCTTCCCAAGAAAAACCATACAAAATGTCTCACTCCGTGACCATTACACGTACCACCACCAGCACCACCAACACTTCCTACATTGTCCTCAACACTGGCTATTTGAAGAGTTTCAGTGGCCTTCTCAAATTGGCTGAATTGGTAAGAATTTTGAAAAATTTTCTTTTTTTTTTGAAAATTAATTAATTTTTCTTTCTCTCCTCAAATTTCCAGCTAATTGGTGCTGCCATGGTTGGCATTTTTGCCTACTATCAAAAGAATGGCGCCTGTTTCTATTCCATGGAAGGTGTTGTCTTCGCCTTCCTAATGTCGGTGACATTTATGATAGGGACATTCTGTTTGCTGTTATCGTGTCTCACGTCGCTCAGTACCGGGGGCATTATATCGAAAACAATTTATGTAAGTAGAAACGATTGTTGATGGGAAAAGTATCCCGAGAACCTTCATTAGATCTCCTATGGATTATTTAAAAGTACTTTTGTGAGTAAAATGCCTTTCAATAGGACTTCTACATATAGAAAGCCTTTTAGGACAGATATTCTATAAAGAAGGTCTGTGGTTGATATCAAATTCCAATTCTTACCTCAGGTGTAATCGAAAAGAATGAGAAGTAGAATGAATCTTCTTTATGGAAACTTACTTTATTTTAGACCTCCAAAAAACTCGATCGAATTTGTACAAATGGTGACACTCACTCGAATTCGAGCGAGTGCACTTCTCGTAGCAGAAAAGAATAATCGAAAAACCCAATTTTTCGATGTCGCTCGAATATGAGTCAACATATTTTCCTCCCTTTCGAGTAGGAGCAAAAATGGCTTCAAAATCGAGCAGATTCTACTCTTGTCGAGCACTCTTTTCGTTTTTGTCATACCGTTGTTATATTTCTGATGATTTTGTACCGAAATACACTTATACATTATTTTTCGGTACAAGATCACACCCCCCTCTTCTACAGTACGCAGCAATTTGAAAACGTACATTATTTCAGACCTCCGAAAAAATTTGCTTGAATTTGTGTAAAGGGTGAAATTGACTCGAATTCGAGCGAGTGAGTTCCTGGTGGCAAAAAAATCGAGCAACCTCAAGTTTTCTATGTCGCTCGAATATGAGTGAGCCTATTTTCCGCGTTTTCGAGTTCGAGCGAAATTCGTTTAAAATCGAGCAGATTCTACTTTTGTCGAGTACTCCTCCAGTTTTTGTCATACCGTAGTTGTATTTCTATGTATGTGTATAGTTCCGTACAAAATCAGTATGCAGCAATATGCAAACTCAGTATATTTCAGACCTCTGAAAAAACTCGCTCGAATTTATACAAAGAGTGAAATTCACTCGAATTCGAGAGAGTGAGCTCCTGGTTGCAGAAAAAAATTGAGCAAACTCAATTTTTCGAAGGTGCTCGAATATTTTCCTCGTTTTCGAGTGGGAGTAAAACTTATTCTAAATCGAGCAGATTCTACTCTTATCGTGTACTTTTTGTCATACCGTTGTTGTTTTTCTATTTTTATACCATCCACCATATATAGTAGGATATATTATGTTCGTCATTCCGTTTATAACTCATCGAAATAATTATTTTAGACCTAACAAAGTATATCCTTGATCAGCGTAAAATTCTAAGACGATTTAACCCTGTCCCGTTCGTAGAGTCAAACGAACTAAGATAGGAAGCTAAAAATTTGCACAGATCAGTCTTTGGTCTGCAGGCAGGTCAAGTTCGAAAACGGGTTATATCGGTCCACGATATCCATCGATTAGCCCCCATATAACGGTACCCTCGATATTTGGTATTTTAATTATTTTAGTCAAATGTTCAATGTAAATGTCTGAAAATCCACACAAGAAGTTCCTTGTGAGCACTCTACGCCCTGGAAGAGAATTGTCTATATAGATTCACGATATCGTATAGCCTCCATACAACGTTACCCCCAAATATTCGGTATTTCGATGATATCAGCGACATTTTCTTTAACGGAATTGTTTAAAAGTTCGTATTTGAAGCTCGTAATGGGTACTACAGCCTGTGACAAAAGATTGCGTATGCAGGTCCATGTTTTCGTATAGCACCCATATAAAGGTACCTCTCGACACTCGGTATTTTGATGATTTTAGGGAAATTATTTACCGGAATTATTTTAAATTTCATATTTGAAGCTCGTAATGGGTACGACAGCCCATGACAAAAGATTGCGTATGCAGGTCCACATCTTTGTATAACCCCCATATAACGGTACCTCCCAAAATTCAGTATTTTGATGATATTAGCGACAGTATTTACCATATTTGAAGCTCGTAATGGGTACTACAGCCTATAACAAAAGATTGCGTGTGCAGGTCCACGTCTTGGCATAGCCTCCATATAACGATACCTCTGGATATTCGGTATTTTGGTGATTTTAGCGACAGTTTTTACCGGAAATATTTCGAATTGTTTATTTGAAGCTCGTTATAGGTACTACAACCTATGAAAATAGTCAATGTAGGTCCACGTCTTCATATAGCCCACACATAAGAGTACCTCATTTTTTTCGGTATTTTGATGATATTAGCGACCTTTTTGACCGGAATTATTTCAAATTTCGTATTTAAAGACAAAAAATTACGAATGCAGGGCCACGTCTTCGTAAACCACTTATAACGGTTTTTCTTTGAGCGGTATTTTTCGACGGATTTTTTTTTTTTTTTTTTGGAAATTTGTCTAGTTCTTCCAGAATGGTAGAAGCTGCTTTTTTACTTGTTCTGTATAAAATCGTAAATATTTTATTTTTCAATCATTTACCTTCTTAGAGCCAAATCTTGCTCTATTTAGAGCGATTCTGTTCCCACTGTAATTTTACACGAGTGACTCGGGAGTACTGTCACACAAAGCCAATGAGAGAAGAAGTAGGCTTCGAAAAAAACTCCCACTATTCAAGCAATCTTGATTGCGAGCAAGTTTCGCTCCCGAGTAAAAATGAGCAAATATTTGCTCTGCTTCATTTCAACATATTGTTGCGGAATTTTGCTTTGTCTTAACGCCGTGCAGACACAGTTTTATTTTCCGATTTTTTTTTTCGGGCGATTTTCGATGGTCAATTCTTAGTTACGCTTTTACACGCACTCTCAATTTAGTTATGCACATCATTGTTCATAATTGACTCACTGGCCTATGTCTACTCACTCGTATTTATAGTTCCTCATCTCATCTTTCATATATGGACATTTGGAGAATCTCAATGCAGAATGCTCTTTTTGACGGTCAATTCTTAGTTACGCTCATACACTAACTCTCAATTTAGTTATGCACATCATTGTTCATAATTGACTCACTGACCTACTCACTCGTATTTATAGTTCCTCATCTTTCATATATATATGGACATTTAGAGAATCCCAATCCAGAATGTTCTAAAATATTCCAACGTAATGCAAAACACATAACTTCGTCAAAGAGCAAACACACATATACAAACAAACGAATACATTTAAACAACAAAAGGGGGCAGTAATTATAAATACGAGTGAGTGAGGCAGAACGACAAAACTAAGGCTTACACACAAAGAAAGAAGTATGGGAAACTTTAAAATACAACAGTAACAATAGGGAAATAAACTTGTTCAAGTAGAAAATAGTACCATGTAGTACCACTATTTTGCAGGTTCCGCAACACACCAAATATCATTAATATAATGTGACATTATTTTGAATGAAATAAATATCAATTTTTTTTTGTTGTTTGTTCTTTCCAGGAATTAATCTATCACAGTGTTGCTGCCATTCTCTTGCTATGCTGCTCCCTGCAGGTCGTCATTACATTGGGTGACCGACGTTACCGAAGCAATTCCCAGAGTGATGCCTACTTTGCTGCCGGTGTAATGGGTTTGGTGAATGCCGTTTTGTACTTTATCAGTGCCTTCTTGGCCCACCGATCTTATCGTGGCATTTAAATGCATATAAACAAATACATATGGAAAACCAGCAAAAACAACATCCAAAGCCACAATTTTAAAATTTTAAAATAAATAAGAGTAATTTCTTTGGTAACCGAATAAACCGCAACTTAAAATATATCCACAACATAAGTCCAAAGAATTTGAAAAATTTGAAATTATGCAAGAAAAATAAAACAAATATATACATGTATGTGTATATACATACATAATTAAGTATATATATCAAGCAAAGAATCTAAATGTATTTATAAATAAATATATATTTTTTATATAATTTATGTTTTCTCTTTTTTGTAATATTCTGTCTGTTCTAAGAAATGAAACTGATTTAATTGTTGAAGTAACAATAACTGTAACAACAACAGCAACCAATTATTGCAACAATTTTAAGTATTTGTATTTTTGTAGTGAATAAAGAATTTGTTTTACTTTCTTTTTTGAAATCGAGAATTTGTTTTAATAATTGTTACAGCTGAAGGAGAACATCGTTGGATACAACAAATGTCTGTTCACATTTCTCTGCTGGAATTTCTGGCAACTTCTTTCTAAGAGAGTAAAGAAATGTTATTCTCTTTGGCAAGAAAACTGAGAAGAGAAGTAGAAGCAAGCAATCAGCTGATTTGTCAAATTGAAATAATTTTTTGCCATAACAAGAAACAAAGCACGCAACATTGTATTTTATTAAAAATCAAATTTATTTAAAATAAAAAAAGAAAAGGAGCAAAAAGGCCAATTTTGTACGATTTGGTGCAGAGTACCTATTTTCTCTTTCCAGAGTATATATCATCTCTTTCCACATAAAATGACATTTTATTTTTCTTTCATACATCAACTCGAAAAGTGGCCGAGGAAAAATTGATCGAAAAAACCATTAAAAGAATCTTAAAGTCGGGCGGGGCCGACTTTATGATACCCTTCACCACTTTGCTAATTTAGTAGAGCTCCGCATAACAATTAAAAGTTTTTATGGAAGAATTCAATCATACAAAGAACTAAATATGCCGAAGCATTTGTATCTTTTAAATTCGGACTTGTATTGACCATTTGGTGCACAATTAATTTGAAATCGGATAAAGATATATATGGAAGCTATATCCAAATCTGAACCGATCTCGATAAAATTTGGCAAAGATATTTCTGAGCTGTATTCGATATATTTCCCTGAATTTTGTTGTTACGGAGTGCATATTACGACTGTGGGTAACAAATATAACAAATCGGATGAACAATATATATAAGAGCTATAGCTATATCTGAACCGATCTTCACCAAATTTGACATACTAACTTCTAGACTCAATTCGGTCGTAAGTGCCAAATTCCATCCCATTCGGACAAATATTAGATGTTTGGTGCACAATAAAAGGTAAATCGGACGAAGTTATATATGGGAGCTATATCCAAATCGGAACCGGTCTCAATAAAATTTAGCAAATGTATTTCTGAGCTGTTTTTGATATATTTCCCCGAATATTGTTGTTACAGAGTGCATATTACGGCTGTGGGTAACAAATATAACAAATCGGATGAACAGTATATATAGGAGCTATATCTATATCTGAACCGATCTTCACCAAATTTGACATACTAACTTCTAGACTCAATTCGGTCGTAAGTGCCAAATTCCATCCCATTTGGAAAAATATTAGACGTTTGGTACACAATTAAATGTAAATCGGACGAAGTTGTATATGGGAGCTATATCCAAAATCTGAATCGATCTCGATAAAATTTAGCAAATGTATTTCTGAGCTGTATTTGATATATTTCCTCAAATATTGTTCTTACAGAGTGCATATTACGGCTGCGGAGGACAAAAATAATAAATCGGATGAACAGTATATATAGGAGCTATATCTATATCTGAACCGATCTTCACCAAATTTGACATACTAACTTCTAGACTCAATTCGGTCGTAAGTGCCAAATTCCATCCCATTTGGAAAAATATTAGACGTTTGGTACACAATTAAATGTAAATCGGACGAAGTTGTATATGGGAGCTATATCCAAAATCTGAATCGATCTCGATAAAATTTAGCAAATGTATTTCTGAGCTGTATTTGATATATTTCCTCAAATATTGTTCTTACAGAGTGCATATTACGGCTGCGGAGGACAAAAATAATAAATCGGATGAACTATATGAGAGCTATAGCTATAACTGAACCGATTTCGTTCAAATTTGACATACTAACTTCTAGACTCAATTCGGTCGTAAGTGCGAAAACCATCCCATTTGGACAAATATTAGACGTTTGGTGCACAATTAAATTTAAATCGGACGAAGTTGTATATGGGAGCTACATCCAAAATCTGAATAGATCTCGATAAATTTAGCAAATGTATTTCTGAGCTGTATTTGATATATTTCCCCAAATATTGTTGTTACAGAGTACATATTACGGCTCCGGGGCCAAAAATAACATATCGGATGAACAATATATATGGGAGCTATAGCTATATCTGAACCGATTTCGATAAAATTTGGCTTAATTATTTTCAGGCCTAATTATTTTAGGCATAATTATTTTAGGTTTCGTCCTTGGGCCAAAGAAATGATTTGTGCAAAATTCCCAACGGATAAATGCAAACTGAAATGCCAAAAATGCCTGTACAAATGGACGGACGGACGGACATGCATAAATCGACTCAGAATGTGATTATATGCAGATCATCAATTAGATTGTCTTAAAATTTCACAGATCCCAATATTTTTATAAACCCAAGGTCTGGTGCGAAAAGGGAATATATCGATCCACTCCATATGGTATTCAAACCTACACCCCCCCCCTTCCCCTACTCACACACACACGAAAATGGTCAACGTTTTGAATAACAAAAACGATCATAAAATCCGAAATAAGCATTCGGTTCTATTCAAATTACACACTTCGGACTGGTGTGAAGATGGAATATATCGGTCCACTGCTTCTGGTAGCTCCCCCACAAAGGGTCAATATTTTTAATAATCATAAAGCTCATAAATCACGAAATTAATATCCGATTCCATTTAGACTTGACACATTTGAATATTTCTATCAACACAGTATCTGATACAAAGATGTAAGAGATCGGACAATTCCTTCTGGTACCTCCCCCCACAAAAAATTTTTGAAAAACCAAAACTATTATAAAAACCCGAAATAAGTATTCGGTTCTATTCAAAATACACACATCACAATATTTTTATTAACCCAAGGTAAGGTAGAAAACATCGGCACACTCCTTCTGGTACCTTCCCCCACAAAGGGTCAAACTTTTAAATATCCATAAAGTTCATAAAACGCGACATTAATATCCGATTTCATGTAGACTTGGCACATCTGAATATTTCCACCAACGCAAATCTTTTATAAATATGGTAGAGATCAGACAATTTCTTGTGGTACCTCCCCCACTAAGAGTTCAAGATTTTTGAAAAAGAATACACTCAAAGAAAGCAAAAAAAGGATCCAACTCTCTTCAAATTTCACCAATAACATTTTTTTGCTAACACAAGATCTGTTGTGAAGATGCTATATATCTGAGAATCACCTCTGGTTCCTCACCCACAAAGGGTCACAATTTTCAATACTTATATCTACCGAAACAAGTCGGTGATTCTTTATGACTTCGCATAAAATTGTATATAAATGTTCGATTTCCTTCAAATTTTGCACATACCCATATTTTTTATCTGTATTAGATAAAATATGAAAATGGAATACTTCAGTCCGCCATATCTGTTACCTTACGCATATTTCCTCATTTTCCAAAAATTCTCAAATATCTCATATAAATTACAGGATGTAGTCGATATAGTCCAAATCTGGTACGTTGTAATATTTATATCAGTCTTAGGTCAGATACGAATTGCTCAATATTGACCAATTGCTTCGGAACCTCCTCCATAAAGAGTCGACAGTTTGAATAAGTCAAGGCTCTGGGGGTAAACATATGTCGACAAAACCGACTGATATTATTTTACTTGTTTTTTTTTGTGTTTTTGCAATACTCCTCCGCTCCATGGAACATTTTGTCATTTTTTCGCAACCATATAGAGGCTATATGAATTTCCAATTACTGCAATGCAGATCACCGAAAATATGGCAAAATTCACATAACCCAACATGAGGAAGCTGGCCGTATTGTAGTATTGAATTGTATGGCTTTTATGTTCGCATTTGGGAGAATAGTTAGACGAAATATAAAAATGAATCCACAGCAGGGCAGCAAAACAAAGAAACCACAGTGCAATTGATACGAAACAGAACTAAAATGAAAAAAGCCAATTTAAAATCATTAAAAAAAATTTGGATGGAATTCTTACCACATAAGCGAATAGTTGGACCCTCTTCCTTATCGGTTTTATAATTAGAGCTTTAAGCAGGCAGGTGTAGATTACACATAATACCAGTATAATTTTGTAGGTTAGAATCTCCTTTGTGTTTGTTAGATTTGCATTTGTTTGCATCAGGATAAATGTCAGAATTGAAAAAATCTAAAAAATGTGAATTTATGAGTTTCTAAATCTTTATTTTATATTTATGTTTACTTACCGAACATATTAGGCTTAAGATGATCAAAATAATATCCTTGGGCGACAACATTCCTTCCAAACTAAAAGAGATTTTGGGAAAAGTCAATTGAATGTTATTTTTCATAGCACGCAACAAAGTCAAACGCCAAAAAACTGCAACAAAGTCAAACGCCATAGTTTTGACATTTTTTTTTAATTTTATTGAATGAAAGCAAAAAATGTCGGAAATAGCATCAAATTTTAGAATAAGTTTAGATTTGTTCGAATTGGTCACCTTTGGCACGAATTATGGCCTTCAAACGGCCAATGAAACCTTCACACTCTACCCGAATGTTGCTCTGCGGTATTTTGGCCCATTCCCGGCGAAGCGCTTGCTTGAGATGATCGACACGTTGGTATTTTTTAGTGCCAACCTTGCTTTCCAAATTAATCCAAACACAACAGTCCAAAGGATTGGTATCCGGAAATTTTGGTAGCCATTGTGCGCTGGCAATGAAGCGAGGAACCTCATTTTGTAACCGTTCTTGGGTGGCACGTGCTGAGTACAATGGTGCTGAGTCCTGTTGGAATGTCCAAGGTCTGCGGTCAAAATATTTGCGTGCCCAAGTCTTTAATACACCCCGCAGAATATTTTCGCGATAATATTCGGCATTTATTCTGATGCCACGGACGATTAATACGAGCGGAGATCGACCACCGGTTGCTATGGCGGCCCACACCATCACCATGGCCGGCGCTTGAATTCTGGTGGCCAACCGAAGGTGCACATTTTCAGCGGACTGACATCTTTGGCAAGTAAACACGATCATTTTGTTTGTTTACAAACTGCTGGGCAACGAATGTTTTCTCATTGGCGCGGAGAAAACCAAATTCGGCAGTTCACCACTTTCGGCCAAGCGAAGCAACTCTTTAGCTCTTTTGAGGCTATTTTCTTTCTGTTGCGGCGGTGTAAGTTCTAGCACCGCTTTGGAATTTCAATGGCCTTACCCTGAACTCATTTTTTAATATTTGCCAAATGGAATATTGCGATATGTTAAGCTCACTAGCCATTTTTCGGCCACTGCGACGCGGGTTTAGATCATGTCGCTTCTTTACTTTTCGAACCATTTCTGCTGATGTTGCTGTTTTCTATCGTCCACTTCCTTGACGTCAGGCTACGCTACCAGAATCACGGGAACGAATGATGGTACGAGACACATAAGATTTATTAATATTTAAATGCTGGAGCGCTTTAACGATAGCCACTTGTGGTTTTCCAGCCAAATATAAAGAATTCCATCACGAATAACGTTTTTTCTGGAAAATTCTCATCAAAATCCTTTGGTACGCTTGTAAACAATATAATGAGCTATCACTGGAATAATTTTAACAGCTATCGGACGAGTGGTTTGGAAATGACAGCAGTCTGAAGTTGGTTGAAGTTTTTTTTATCTCACTCTGCATACCCTCTCCAGCCATATGGCTAAGGATATAAAAATTCCAAATATAGCAGCACCAACTGCTGACTTCTTTTGCTTTTAATCAGACTATACTTAGAACTTCAAGTTCCCAAAAAATTGGAACAGCAATCGATAAGTCCATAATGAATGGAGTTTTGGCAGTTACAGATGCTCAGCATCTCATATAGATTAGTACCACATGATGGACAAATGTTCTGCATTTTAGCATTAAATCCAGTTCAATACGATTTGCGTTGGCTCACAATTTTGTATCTCACTTTTGTCAATACCAAATTTCGAGATGGTGTTCTCTCTGTATTTTTGTCAAACCAGCCTAAAAAATATAGGTGGACAGAAATACTTTTAAGGGGAAATTTCTCTAAGTTCACTTTCATCGGATGGAATTTTTCAGACGACACACAGTGGAGATGCCCAAAAACGGAGATTAATGCAGGGAAGCATTCTATCGCTCTGAAATTTTGCTCAGACATTCATATTACCTCTAATATGTTTGACATTAAAAATGGGACATAACGGTCCACGTTTCGGTGGGGCCCCCATATAACGTTACTTCCTGATTTTTTGGTATTTCGAAGGTTTCGGTCACAATTTCAAACCCAATCATGAGTATCTTGACATTTTGAGTTCGGAGCGGACAAAGTCACTCCCTGGTAAATTTTGTGAAGATAAATCCACAATTAGTATTGACCATATATAACGGCATTTCCAAATTTTAGATATTGACCGTATATAACGGCACATCCAAATTTTAGGTATTTTGGAAATTTCTCCCCGCAAAACATATAATGGAATTTCCTAATATTAGGTATTTTGAGGGTTACAAACTTATTATTTGGTATTTTTTGCCCAATGGATGGAAGGAAAAATTACAAAAATTGCCTATAAAAACCAACATTTTAGTAGTCAGAAAAATAATTTATCCTTTGTAAAACCTTCAAAAATCTGAAGACAAAAAGACTACATATTTTTATGAATGGCAATTAAGCATTCCGATCTGAAATAGAAAAATCATCCTCCCCTAAATCTCTCTCATTGTCTTAAATTGGATCATCAGTCAAAATTGAGGGTGAGGCAAGTAACCTCACCACTGACTTTTTAAAGAGACTGGAATATTTTTATATATAGTTTAGAATTCCAATTAATTACAGGATAAAAACGCAAATGAAACTTTTTTAATAAAAAGCAAAAAATAAAAAAAAACAAATAAAACAGAGAACTAGATCAAAGTACTTTCACCGCAGAATCAGTTGACTATTTTCACCATTTTTTAAATTAATCAAAAACGTCAAAAAACGGCACGTGTTCCTTGTTGATTATGAAAAATGACATTCGATACTAAAATACAAAATTAAAATTTAAAGACCTTCTCGATATTATTTTTTTAAAACTCCATATACTTTTCGGATATGACGAAAATATGGTAATATTTTGAATTGATTTTTAAAATATTTTTACATTATTATTTTTAAAACTTTTTTATTTAAAAATACTAATAACTACCTTCATTCGATGTTTCAATTTTAAAATCATCATGTTGGATAGGGAAAAATCTAAATTATTGCACTTCAAATACCCAAAGACAATTTTTTTCCTTATTCTTGCGAAAAAAGGAAATATTTCTTAACGTTGCCACTGTGTAATTAGAAAACTAAACAATGTATGACTTTAAAATTTTCGGTACTGATGTAGAATTTAGTGTTCTATAATAGTTTAAAAACATTTATTCCAAAAGAAGAATTTTATTTTTTAATTAATCTCCGTGTTTTGTGATTTCAAGCCTCTGTGCGACGAGAAGAATCAATTTCGGCGTTATGATGTAAAAGTTCATTTGCCCTTTCCTATTTACAAAAAAATTAATCACAACAATTTTATCTTGGCATATACAAAACATAATTGTAATTTTATTTACTTTTAGTTTATTTTTTAATTTAATTGAATTCATTAAGTAACTGGGTGTTAATAAATCGAAATATATATATTCTGTAGATAACATGACCAAAATCAATTAAAAAATTATCATAGATTTATTTAAAGCTAATCAAAAGTGAATTGTCTGTCTGAAGAAGCTCAAAACAAACTGACTTTTTTTTGCAAAACATACTTTGTACTGGTAAATAGTTGTTAATCCATAATAAAAGAAAAAACCCAAAGTAAATTAAACAACAACCTGAGTGTTGGACTAAACTAGAATGTATATTCAAAATGATTACAACGTTCCGGTTCCAGCCATACAACACTAGTCAACAATTTCGTTTTGTTTGGTTTCATTTTTCTGTTAAGTTAATATTGTTATAAAAAATACATTTTGAAAAACAAAAATTAAAATATATATACTATGAATATTAAAATGTAGTATTCCGTAATCAATATGATACAACAACTTAAAAGCAAATAACAATGTTTAAAAACAAACGAGTATGCGTGGTGTATGTGGTGAGTGTGTATTTGCAATTGCATTGTTTCCTCTGGTTTTAAAGCTATCGATATTGATTAAATATTTTTTTTTTAGGATGTAGTTAGTGATCATCAGCACCAAATTAGACTCTATTATTTTAAACTTTGTTTAAATGCCATTGAGTAACAAAAAAAAATAATGGATTCGTTATTTTTTGTTTTAACTACCACCTACAATGAGCTTAATTTAAATAACTATTTGATGAACACATCCATACGCCACCGCCGATTGGTTATAAATTCCTCAGATTCCCTTTTCCCATATGCTTGGGAAAATCTTGCCGTTTTTTTATAATTTTATGGAATATTAAATTGTGGTTTTAAACCCAGAATGTTGATTCTTTTCTTTGAAATCATATAAAAAAAATATTCCTTATATATGTTAGGGAGGGAAGTAGATTGTTTTGTTGGTTGGCCACCTAAATGTCTATTGACTAAATTTAATGCTTATATTATTAACTCTAGTTTTCATATGATCCAAAACGTCGTGGGCAAAGTCCTCCAATGTGGTGTAACGACTCTTTTGAAAACTAAAGATATCGGCCAAAAAGCCCAACATTTGATCTCTAAAATAATGGCAAATATCTTTGAGATTTTCATCTGGTCCAAAGAAACCCCATGCCATAAGGGGTGACAACTGTTCGGAAATGACATAGAAATGGGCCATAAAGCCCTCTGGGAATTTCAGCATACGCTTTTTGGCTTTCAGTACCGACCAAACGGCTGTGGTCAAGGCCTGCAAGAAAACAAAAGAATATCAACAGCTGATTTCCAAATTTTTAAACTTAAGAACTTACAGTCTCCTTAAAACCATTTGAAAGAAAACGATTTTGTACCACGGCAATAACACTGGCCGGCGGTGTATCTAAATCCCGAAAAGAATCGAGAATTATGAAATCGAGACATATATCATAAAACGTCATGGCCTTGACATTTCTTGATTCCAGCTCCTTTTGTACTTCATCCCAGTTATTGGGATTCTGTAAATAGTTGACCATATCCTCATAGCCTACCAAGAACTCTTTGGTATCTTTGTCACCCAAACAAAGTAGATCTGTGAGAATTTGTCGGCCGGTATCAATGACCCATTGGCCAATGGCTGGATCCTAAAAAGAAAAAAACAGTTATTCCAAGCCACCTAAATATACAAACAAATTTTTACCCACCTTAAACAGATACTGAAATGCCAGACGCACACAATGCAACTTGGCCAAATACTCCGTGTCATTACTACAGTGTACCAATTCGGTACGCAGCGTACGATAGGGTATGGCGGTTTCTTCGTGTTGCTTCAATGCCGTCTGATACAATGGATATTCTTCGAATTCGGTTTCGGCAAAACTTTCAAATTCACGCATATCGGCCACCTGATCCAGGGCGGAAGCAAACGATTCGGCCGAATCAAAATTGGGATCTGATCCCGTACGACTCATACTAGTCGAACGATGTGAGTGTTTATCATCATCCGCCCCACCCACATCTTCTAAGGCAGCCCATTGATCTTCTTCCGCCTCATCAATTGACGGTTCATCGCGAAATAACACCGAACGTTGATCGAGAAACAATAGCTCACTTTGTTCCTGCAAAGCATAGGCCATATCGAGTAGATTTTGTATTTCACGACAAAATTCCGATTCTTCAGCTGTTGTAAGCAGTGCCGGCACACCACCAGGTGAGTAATGGGCAGCCAGAGCATCTTCCCAGAAATTTATGACCGTATCAAGGGCTTCCATGCCCATAACACCCAGCTGTTGGGCTGTTAATTGTGTTGTAATAATGCCACCACCTTGTGATTGATTGGACAAAGCCAATGGTCCTCCACCCATGCCAGCGCCTACAGAACCGCTAGCCATGGACATACGATCGGATTGTGAATAGGCAACGGTGGAAGCAACAGGACTCCCGGATCGTGCCGATGCTTTGGACCCCGCCACCGATATCATATCGTTGGGACTACGCATACTGTTGCGAGCACGTCGGCTTGTGTATTTACGTGCTCTGCGTGGTGGACGTGGCGGTTTGCGCCGGCGCAGAAATCTTGACATCACACCCAATAAGGCCACACCGGCTGCTATTGAGATTATGACCACCTAGAAGGAAAAAAGTGAAAATATTTTGGTATTAATTTGCTTATTTTATTACTTCTCAAAATTGATATTCATACATAGAGCACCTTGAAGGACAATTCGAGTCAAGTAAATGTGAGGCTATATCAAAATATTGGTGTGGATTATTTCAACAAAACACTTTAGTAAATTCGTGCATCTCTAGATTTGAGAATCGAAATGTCAGTAGATAGGTGTCTACTTTTGTGAGGAAAGCCTAGTTTACAGCCCCTGCGGACTATTTTGGAAATGTTAGACCATATACCAATTGGGGCTCTATTTACTAGTATATTTAGATTTAGCTTGCAGGTGTCCATTCATTTCGGGATATGGACGTGGCTTCCAAATTTCCGTAAGCCCTCTTGTGCTATTCTCTTTTCTTTTTATAACCTCCACCATAGTATGGAGGGTATATTAAGTTTGTTAGTCCGTTTGTAACTCCTCGAAGTATACATTTTAGAATCCACAAAGTGTATATAATCTTGATCAGCATAAAATTCTATGTCGATTTAGCGATGTCTGTTTGTGGAAATCTCTCTAGCTTCCGAACGAAATGAACTAGATTGATAAAATTTTACTGAAATGTGAATTATGTCTGCAGGACTTTTGGTATTGAAAATGGGTCATGTAGGTCCACGTTTTGGTATAGCCCCCATATAATGGTACCTCCCTTTTTCGGTATTTTGGTGATTTAAGCGACATTATTCACCGGAAATGTTTCAAATACTGGTATTTGAAGTTCATAACGGATACTGCAGCCTATGACAGAAAATTGTCGGTGCAAGTCCACGTCTTCGTATAGCCCCCATATAACGGTACCTCCCGATATTCGGTACTTTGGTGATTTTAGCGACATTATTCACCGGAATTGTTTCAAATTTGGTATTTGAAGTTCGTAATGGGTACTACAGCCTATGACAGAAAATTGTCTGAGCAGGTTCACGTCTTCGTGTAGCCCCCATATAACGAACGGTACCTCACTATATTCGGTATTTTCATTATTTTATCTACATTATTCACCGAATTTTTTTATTCCAGTTTCGCATTTGAGTATTGTAATGGTTTATGACAAAAGTTACCTATGCAGGTCCACGTATAATATTTAGTTAATTAATTTTTAACGGATTTTATTTTTTTTGAAAATTGCCAAATTCGTTCCAAATAGTGGAGGTTATTCAAGGATCGGCCCGGCCGAACTTACAGCTTTTTTCCTTTTTTATATATTTTCAGCCATATGCCTAGAGAGGGTATATATCATTTGATACGGCCAAAATGTGTCTCATCGAAAAATGGTTTTAGGCCCCTGGTCTCTTTGGACCAAATCCGTTTCAGTTCAATTCAGTTCCGTTCGTCTGGCTGGCTGGTGCACACGATAACTCTCGTACTATGATTATCAAACTTAGATCGGATTCCGAGAAGGGCAATATCGGCCCACTCCTTCTGGTACCTTCCCAATAAAAGGTCGAAATTTTCAAAAATAATAATTTACTGCACAGAAAGAGAAAGGCTAGTCCAATTTCGCTCTATTTTTGCAAATCCCAATATTTGCATTAGTGCTAGGTCAGGTGAGAAAGGTGTGAAGATGGAATATGGATCTCCTTGTGGTACCTCCCCAACAAAGAGTCAACATTGTGAATATCCATGAAGCTCATTAACATCCGATTCCATTCAGACCTGGTACATCTCAATATTTCTATCAACACAAGATCTGTTGTAAAGATGGTCAATATCGCTCCTTTCCTTCGATTCTATTCAGACTTAGCACATCTCAATATTTCCATCAACACAAGATCTGTTATAAAGATGGTAGAGATCGGACCATTTCTTCTGGTACCTCACCCACATAGGGTTTAAGGTTTAAACAAAAAGCTCGAAGAAAGCGAAATAAGCATCCAACTCTCTTCAAATTTAAAAATTCAAAATTGATATATTTAATTATTTTTCTCAAACAGAAACCTGATATGAAAATGTAATTTATCGGAATTTATGATTTCGAAAAAAAATTGGATAAAAAAATTCGATTTCCTTCAAATTTTGCTCATACCAATATTTTTATCTTTATTAGATAGAGTATGAAAATAGATTAATTCGTCCCGCTATATCTGTTAACCCACGCATATGTCCACATATTCCAAAAATTTGCACATATCTCATATAAAGTATAGGAATTAGTCGATATAGTCCAAATCTGGCACATTGTAATATTTATGTCAGTCTTAGGTCAGATACGAATTGGTCAATATTGGCTAATTTTAACTCAAGGTTGGGGTTAAACATCTGTTGACAAAACCGACTGATACTATTTTACTTGTTTTTATCTGTATTAAATGAGGCATGAAAATGGAATATTTCTGTCGATTACATTTGGTAACACACACACAAATTTTAAAGGTTTCTAAAAATTATCACATATCTCTCATAAAGCGAAGGAAGTACTCCATACTCCATAGAGATGTCTGTAATTATGACAAAATCTATTCAAATTATTTCTTCGAAAATCAATGGCCTATCCATTGAGAATTCATTACATATATTGACTTTTCAGTAACGATACCTCATTTCTGCGGTATATGTACATTGGTAGTGTCAACAATGTTGATATTTGTAAAAGAAATTCAAATGGGATGGGTACATATTTTGAAATGCAATCATAAAAATCAACAAAAAACTGGTTCCAAAATTTGTTTTGTTATTGAAAATCCAATCATCCAATATGTTGCTTTTTTCGTGGCTGCATTTGGGCCATCATTTAAATCACTTCATTTTGTAATACAACAACAATGCTAATGTGGATTGATAAGAAAACTACTTGGCGGGTATACGGTATAGCAGCAAAAACGTGGACACTTTACGCGTTTACATACACTGTCTTACGTCACAGAAGACGTGCCCCCAACATTTTTGTGTTTGAAAATACCTTTAAGGTACAACAAAAGCAAACAAATGAAAACAATTAAAATATTTATTGACAACTTACCTTTTGTGTGGTGGACATACGAACTGGGAAAATGCGTATATCTGACCATTTGGCCGGAACTGAAATGCCCAACATTTTTGGATGGTTGTGATGTGCTGTGGTGTTCCTTATATGCTGCTGCTGCAATGATTATCCAACGTCTCGAAGTGCAACTGCAGTCAACTTTTCTTCAAGTTTTTCTCAATGAAAATGGACGTATGTGTTGTGGCTGTGTGTAAAAGTGTGGCTCATTCAAAGAAATCTACATTTTTTCACTATTCCAAATGCACTTTACTTTTTTATTCTATTTGGAGGTTATAATTTGGTGTCAAATTGAACTGCCGATCATTTGCCTCTTTCAACGGCAGATGAACGGATGAATCGAATGTTTATTAACCTTTATTGACTTGTTTATTTTTGTTGTATTTTGTTCACATCATCGCATGTATCTATTTTTCCCCTCAATTAAACCACTCTGTTGACGATATTTTTCCGGCCGTCACCGCCAATGAACTTTTAATTGTTGTTCGGCTTTTTCTTTTCTTCCTAGTTCTCTTTGTTTTTTGTCTCTGCATTGATTTTAATTGTATATCATTGTTGAGATAATGAAGGGGAGGCGGACATTAAATGTAGTATTAATTTTTAATTTTTTTATCTTCTCACTTCCACACACTTCTCACTTTACACAATCAGATGATGAAAAAAACAATAACAACCATCCCACGATTATTAACGGACTTTTCGATTACATACATATCGATAACCGGCGATGGAATGAGGGAATTGGAGACAATCACTTTGAAATGGGTTCGTGCCTGTCAGACAACGCAGCCGAATTATATTATACATGGTATGGAGCATGGTAGAAAAATACAGGTAGATGCATCAACGCTTGTGAGCATTGATATGTCAAAAATTTTTAAATTTCAAATATAAGTAGATTTTTATATGTTTTCTTATACGACACAAATCGTGGGTTGTAAAGATATGCATTTTTCAACAATTTTTACAAATTTAAATAATTTTTCATTCAACATTTTTAATTCCAAAATGGGTTTGACAGTTCATTGTCCCAGCAGCTGCGTCGATGCGTCTACCTATATTCTTCTACCATGGTATGGAGGGTATATTAAGTTCGTTATTCCGTTTGTAACTCATCGAAATAATAATAAAACTGCAGGCAGGTTAAGTTCGAAGAGGGGCTATATCGGTTCACGATATCGTTTAGCTCCCATATAACGGTAACCCAACCCCCCCCCCCAATATTCGGATGATTCAATAAAATTGTCTGAAAATCCACAAAAGGAGTTCCTTCTGAGTACTTTACCCCTAGAAGAGTATTGACTATTTAGGTCCAGGATATCGTATACACCCAATATAACGGTATCTCCCAATATTCGGTATTTTGGTGATTTTAACGACATTTTTTCAATGGAATTGTCTGAAAATCCACAAAAGAAGTTCCTTTTAAATACTTTACCATCTGGAAGAGAAATGTCTATATAGTACCATGATATCGTATAGACCACATACTACGGTACCCCCGATATTTCACTATTTTAGGGACATTATTCACCGGCTCTCGTCTTCGTATAGCTCCCAATATTCGGTATTTGTAAGATTTTAGCGACGTTATTCATCAGAAGTGTTTCAAATTTTGTAGTTAGATTTCGCAATGGGAACTACAGTCTATGACAGAAAATTGTCTATGCAGGTCCAGGTCTTGGTATAACCCCGATATAACGTTACCTCCCGATTTTTTAAGCTTCGTATTTGAATATTTTAATGGTTTATGACAAAAGTTGCCTATGCAGGTCCATGTCTTCGTATGGACCCCAATATAACGGCTTTATTCGGTATTTTTGAGATTTAAGCAGATTTTTTAAGGAATTTTATATTTTTTGAAAATTACCGAATTCGTTCTTAATGCTTTTTTACTTGTTCAAAAGAACATTTGTTAATAAAGTTGTCTGGATTTAAAATTTGAACTTGTTCCACTTTAAACTGTAAAAACCAGTAAAGTGGGTGGAACCTTTATTTATTTTGTGTTTTATTTTAAATATATAAATTGTCCCTATTTCACCCTTCAATAATAGTTACTTTGCGTTACGTTTCCAATAACCATAACCCCCAATGACATTTCGCCGCCGTTAATTAAGACGTCAATTACTTCGGCATCTCCAATTGGAATTTTCTCGTACAAGTGAGAGAGAATGAGTTGCCAATTGAAAATAATTCAATTTTTTATATAAACACGAGAGCCGAGAGTGTTGCCAATTAGAAACAAGCAAGAATTCAAACGACAGAAAGCAAGTGAAGCTATCACACCAAAGCAATTTAAAATTAAATTATTTGTTCTATAAATTTGATTTAACAAAGAAACTTCATTAAAAATGGTTCGACGTGGACGTTCTGCAAGCCCTCCACCAGCTACCAGAAGGTAAGTTTGGAGAGAAAAGAAAATGCAAAATGTGTGCAAAATTTCATTGGTAAAATCTGTGGAGTTTATAAGAAGCTGCTAGAATTGGATAAATTCCAAGTGGTGTGATCTGTGTGGTGACAAAGAAAGTGGGGAAAAGTGTGATGTGTTTAGTTTTCCAAGGAAAATTGGTTTTTTTGTCTAATTTTCTTTTGCAAAAAATGATGAAATTTTTCCATTGAGGTTACATAACCTTTGAACGGACTGTGTACGAAGTCGTTTTTTGTTTGTGCAAAATGTGTTGTGGAGGAGGAATGGTCGCCGGAAGGGATGTGATAATCAAATTTAGTTGGTATCCGCATGCATAGCATTGTTCAAGCCAATTAGTGAGATTTGTGAAGAAAGTTCTGTACAAACAAAGATTCTACAAAATGTCCCTCGTTTTCCGATTAAGGGGAACATAACTGACACAAACAAAAAATGACCAGTCTTGTTGGATATGTTTCCAGCCAATTGCGAAGCAACCTATAAGTTACCAAGTTATCTTGTATTTCGATCTGTGAGAGCTTGTAAGGAGAGGAAGCGTTGATGTTAGGCTTTTCCATAGAGTCCTTTAGTATAATCCAAGAATAAAGGTGGGAATACATAGAGCGCTTATCTGGCTGGCTTAAGTCATCGGCTGGCTGTTTCGGAAATGAACAAAGGAGCTTATGGCCAAAATCGAACTTAGTTAAACTAAAACTCCTTTGTTAATCTACGAAGAAGCCAGCCGATGTCTTAAGCCAGCCAGCTTTATGTATTTCCACCCTAAGTCATATATATACTTACTTCTCTCACAGCTCTGTGTCAGTTTCTGGTTTCCGTTGGGAATTGAGTAAGACATAGAGCAAGTACTTGTAGGTGCAGTGTATCCCCATTTTTTGTATTTTAAGTGCCAATGGAACGATGAGTTCCGGATTTTGTGAAGATATTTCTTAAGGATTAGAGGGCATAGTTTGAAAAAAAAAATCCTTTTTATTCTACCCGCCTTATGAACCATTAAGAACTCCCAATTCAGCCAGAATTAAAAATTTATAAATAATTAAATATTTAAAAAAAAGATGCTAATTGTTTTTCTCTTACAGGAGTGCCCCTGCTCCAGCACCATCTCAAAATGTGCCAGCCCGTGCCGCACCCCCAGCACAGCCACCAGCACCCGTACAGGCTGCTCCCACCGCTGTAGGTGCCCCACAACAGCCCTCTATGTTCCAACAGATGGCCGCCACCGCTGGTGGTGTTGCTGTTGGCTCGGCCGTTGGTCATGCTGTCGGTCATGGTATCACCAGTCTCTTCAGCGGCAGCGGAGACAAAGAAGCTGCAGCTCCCGCCCCCGCAGCTGCTGCCCCAGCCCAACAACAGTACTATGGCAGCGGTGCTGCTCAACCCAATGAACCCCAAGGACCCTGCAGCTGGGAAATTAAACAGTTCTTGCAATGCGCCCAGGGACAATCCGATTTGACTTTGTGCGAGGGTTTCAATGAGGCGCTACGTCAATGCAAGGCTCAACATCATATTTAAGTGAGATTCCAGAAATTTCGGGGGAGTCTTGGCATTCCCATCTGTATACAGCGTTCCTACTCAGGATATCTTATGAATTGAAATGTTTTAATTTCTTCATTATTTACAAAACAAAAATATATAGATGTGTATAATTTAAATTTAACCTATTTGTTGTTAAAAAAATATTTTTTAGTTAAAAATCTTATTCTCTGCTTTTTTACGATATTTTTTGTAGTAGTTTATAATGGTTACACCTTTGTTTTAAATTTTCCTACAACAAATGTATTTTTCTGTTCTTTGTAAATTTGCAAGACAAAAACATAAGGAAAATTCAATAATGTAAATAAACCAAACAAATAAAACAAAGAGGGTAACAACAGTGGCAATTCAACACGAAACATCCACACTCATACACACAAAATTGTTTTTCACAAAGCTAGCGATATTGCGAGAAAATTCGGCTATGGTCAGATTTTTATTACATTGACTTGTGTGCCAAAAAAAAAACAAAAAAATGGAGGAGGGTATGTGGTGTGATGTTTTCAACTAATCATCAAAAATCATTTCATCATTTGAGGATAATAACAACAAACACTTACCACTGTTGTTATCTGCCAAAAAACAAATTTAATTTGCTTTTTATTTTCACCACAGTGGGTCAAGATTTTCCGCATTGTATTGTATTCAGAGGTGAATCAACTTGTGACGCATTTAGTTCCCATTTGGACTTTGATCTCCTGTTTCTTTTTCCCTTCTCTACCAGAAGAATTGTCGCCTGTTTTGTTTATTGTTTATAAAACACCTACATGAGTTGCGATTTTGCGTGTAAATTTTTTGTCTCGTGACCACCATCAACAATTTGTTGTTGTTATTGGTCTTCTTTGAAAAATGCATAAATTATTTTTGTAAACATGTTTTTCATTTTCAATTGTTGATGATAACAAAAAACAACAACAAATTTGTATTTTGTTATTATTGTGCAAAATTGCGTTATTCTTTACCCCCTTTTGCAGTGACTCATATCTAGGCAATGAAATTATCTTGGGTTGATATTTTTGTTGTGATAATTCTTAGGGAAAGTAAAAATAGATTTGGTGACTTCTTGAAGTAATAGATTGATAGGTGATCTAAAACATCATGATATGATGAAATTTAAATAAATATTTGAGGCATTTCTATGGTTTAGGATTTACAAATTGAGAATTTGAAATCTGACACAGATGTTTATTCCTTGAATTTTGTTGAGCAATTAAAATATTTTTTTATTTACTTTAAGATACGCTATGTAATATTTTTTAAATTTTTTTTATTTTGGAGTACACTTTTGTAGTTTTTCGATAGTTGTGATACTTATTGGCCTAATGGCTTTTTCATCGCAACACATAATAAATAAAAGAAAAATGAAATGAAATGAAAATTTGTGCCCATAGGGCCATGGACGGTTACAAAAAGTTCTATACATGACTACTCTAAATTAATTATAATATCCTTAATTTAAAAAAAAAAACAAATTAACAAAAAAATGAGCAAAATTAAAAATTGATTGACGGTTCCAAAAACTTTAGTCAATGACTACTCTTAAAAAGTCTCACTCTCTCTCTTAACTCTTTTAGGACGATAAGATTCATAAGACTTCGATGGAAATGTTCAGGGCCTATAATTATAGCCTATCCTAAAATGGGACTTCAAATGTTGTCAAAGAAAAAAAAATAATAATAATACCGTCGAAAATACCGCTCAAATAAAAACCATAAATAATGCCGATAATATTATCAAAATACGGAATAAACAGAGGTACCATTGTATGGGGGCTATACTAAGACACGGACCTGCATAGACAATTTTCCGTCATAGGCTGTAGTACCCATTACGAACTTCAAATACGAAATTTAATGCAATTCCGGTAAATAATGTCGCGAAAATCCTGGAAATGCCGAATATCTCGTAGTAGCGTTATATGGGTGCTATACTAAAACGTAGATCTATATAGACAATTCTCTTCCTGGGGGTAAAGTAGTCACGAAGAACTACTTGGGTAGAATTTCAGACAATCTTCGAAATACCGAATATCGGGGTACCGTTGTATGGGGGCTATACGATATAGTGGTCCTACATATACAATTCTCTTCAAGGGGGTAAAGCACTCAGAAAGAACTTCTTGTGTAGAATTTCAGACAATTCCATTAAAGAAATGTGGCTAAATCATCAAAATACCAAATATCGGGTGGTTCAGTTTTAGGGGGTAAAGTAATCACGAAGAACTCCTTGGGTAGAATTTCAGACAATTCTATTTTAAAATGTGGCTAAAATCATAAAAATACCGCATATCGGGGGGTACCGTTGCATGGGGTCTATACGATATCGTGCACCGAAATAGCCCATCTTCGAACTTCACCTGACTGTAGACAAAAGACAGATTGGTGCAAAATGTTAGCCTCATATCTTTATCTTCAGGATTACAACAGACGGACGGACATAACTTCATGCTGATCAAGAATATACAAGGTGACATAAAAAAACTGCAAAAATAAAAAAAAAACTGCAACAAAGTCAGACGCCATAATTTTTAAATTTTTATATCCTCAGTCATATGGCTACACAGGGTATACATCATTTGATATGGTCAAAACGGTTTTAAGCCCTAGGTCTCTTTGGACCAAATCCGTTGCAGAACATTTGGAGTCGATCTAGCGATTTCCGTCCGTCCGTCTGGCTTGCTGGTGCACGTGATAACTCTCGAAGGGAGTATCCGATTTGATCCAAACTTGGTACATCGTAATATTATTGTCAAACTTAGATCGAGTTCGGAGATGGGCAATATCGGTCCACTCCTTCTGGTACCTCCCCCACAAAATGTCAAAATTTTTAAAGAAAATACTTTTCTGTACAGAACGAGAAAGGATAATCCGATTTTGATCCAACTTTGTAAATCCTAATATTTGCATCAGTGCTAGGTTAGGTGTGAAAGTTGACAATATAGGTCCACTCCATCCAGTACCTCCCCCACAAAGGGTCAAAATTTTAAATAATTATAACACTTAATATTACACACAGCGATTGTCTTCAAACTACACATATCACAATATTTTTATTAACCCAAAGTCTGGTGTAAAGACGAAATATACCGGTCCACAACTTCTGGTACCTCCCCCACAAAGGATCAACATTTTGAATATTCATGAAGCTCATAAAACGCAAAATTAACATCCGATTTCATTCAGACTTGGCACATCTCAATATTTCCATCAACACAAGATCTGTTAAAAATATGGTAGGGATCGAACCTTTCCTTCTGGTACCTCCCCCACAAAGGGTCAAAATTTTGAATGACAAAAACGATAATAAAATCCGAAATAAGCATCCGATTCTCTTAAAATTACACACGTCCCAGTATTTTGATGATGGAATATATTGGTCTACACCTTCTGGTACCTCCCCCACAAAGGGTCAACATTTTGAATATTCATGAAGCTCATAAAACACGAAATTTACATCCTATTCCATTGAGACTTGGAACATCTCAATATTTCCATCAACACAAGATCATATGTTAGGGATCGGACGATTCCTTCTGGTACCTCCCCCACAAAGGGTTAAAATTTTTGACTAATCATAACTCAAGACTGGGCTATACATCTGTCGGCAAAACCGATTGATACTGAAACTTTGCTTGTTCATCTTCCTTTCCTTTCCTCAAAGAAGTTTCCCCAATGCAATTTGATTAAATATCCAATTTCAGTTTAGTTCATCTTTCCCGAGTCCATTTTTTTAAAACACCAACTCTTTAGCTTAGTAATAATTAGTAAATAATTACATTTATTTCGATTCGCAAATAAAAAATAAAACTGTACAACAAATAAAAGAAAACAAAACACAATGTGCATTCGATCGATCGCCACTCCAACAAAACTCCCCTTTCAAATTCCACAACGAAATTTGTTTGAAACCGTGATTTTCTTTCGTCGATCATCCATGGCATCGACCTTCTGTATCAGTTGCATGGCACGGGCAATAATATCATCTACTTTGTTATTGCTCCTGGCTTGTGGCGGTGTATTGTGATTTTGATTTTTCAACGGCGATAGACGTTTGCGTTTTCTTGGTCCTTCGGGTGAGTTGTTGTTCTCGGAATTCTCATCATGACCGAGCAGGACTTCATGTATGGAATTATCAATGTCCTGAGTTAAATTCTCAATATAACTGGTATCGAATTCACCCAATTTCTTGGACAATTCAAACTTATAGAGCGACTCATCTAGGTTACGTTTAAGCTGAATATTCGCTCCTTGTTTGTTTGGATTGGTGGGCAGAGATATTGTGATTTTCTTTTTGTCTTTTATGGCCATTAGATTGTTTTCTACTTTGCGTGAAGTATGCTCAGCCTTGGCAATGATTTCTTCCAGCTGTTGTGTGGTAAAATCATTTTCCTTTTGGTCATCCTGAAGTGTCTCCTCCTCGGCGATTTGTTCATTTGATGGCGGGGAGCTATAATCAAAGTTCACCATATCCAAAGCTTGATAGTTGAGCCACCATGGCTGGGTTTGATAATTGTAAAGGTCACGTTTTATATAGATTACGGGAGTGGTTTTTAATTCTTCGCAGAACTCCTTTAGATGTCTGTTAATATAGGCAAATACTATGGGTTTTAAAATTGTCAAATAGTTTAGATATTTCATTGTTGCGTCGGTCGTCAATTGGTATTGCATTGTTAGTTGTCGTAGTTGTTGTATTACATTGGAAATGGATTCGTGGGCAACTTTGGTGGCCAGTATGTCATCGTGCGGTAAACACGCTGAGGCATAATTTAAAATCCACAATTCCAATTCTTCCAAATTCGTGGCAGGTGGAGACATGCCATTCATAGGTGGCAGCTGGAGTTTCTTGAGAAATTTATAAATCGCCTTCTTCCCTGTATCTTTTTTCCAATCTGCCGGGAAAAATTCCAAGCCCAGTGGTATATTTATATTATCATTTTGCTGCGGCACAAATTCTTTTAGTTCTTCAGGAAATTCTGGCATTTCGGAAAAATCTTCTTGGGTAATGTGTATCAATTGCTCCAAGGCCTTGTGATAAATGCCCTTGACATGTTCAGGATTTTGACAGATTTTTTGAAATACTGGATTAATTCTGGCCGATTCTTGCCATCTATAGAATATCTCCTCACCCAGTGAGGCATCCAAGAAACTTAAAACCTTTTCCATGGCCAATGCTTGCGATTCTTGACAGTTTTCCTTATAACTTTCTATGGCTATGAAATCTATGGCATCCTTAATGGCTTTACGAAAACTAAAATCTTTTCTACTCACACCGTTACCCAATATTTTGTACTTGCACACCATATCCTCGTCTTCCAGCGTCTCGAGATCCAACATTTCTGCAACGAGCTCCTTTCGCATTAAACAATTGTAGGCTATAATGGCCAGGGGAATCTTTTTGAAGTTTTTAGAATTCTTCAATAGATTATAGAGGCGTCTACGTGCCCGTGAATTAAACTCCTCACCACTGAGGATGAAAACCACCCCATCACTGTGGTCACCTTCGTTACGCATTTCATCTCCTTGCTCATTGTGGGCATAGATGCCACTTAATTTCCGCACACACAATGCCATGTTGTTCTCTAGGCCATGGACAAATGGTCCCGTTTCCAGTTGGGCTTTTCGCACATGCTTCAAAAGCCATTTATTGCAGAATGTTTCGAAACCCGGTAGCTCTTCCTTGTCCGAGGGTATACTTATGAGAAATTTAAAATATTGCCTTTGCTGCAAAAGGCCGGCAGGGGTGAGATTTTGTTTCGACAACAAATGGCGGCCGACAAGGGTGAAGAAACACAAAGGCCGGGTCTGATGGGTCTCGGCCAATGGCGAATGCTTGCCCAGCCGCATTAGCTGTTTAAAATCACAAGGTTGGCCCAAACGATAGCGTTTAATCATTTCCAAATTACTGTCTTGACAGGGATGTTCCAAAGCCTGGGCAAATTCGGATCTGGTATTGGTGGTCACCCAAATCGGAGTACTTTCCATAAGCTTACGCTGTTCCCGCTTCTTGCGCAAATGCATAAGCCAGCGATTGAAGTACCGATTCAATAAAAGCTGATCATAACACATGACAGCATATTCTTCATGGGCAATGTCCTCCACTAAATTCTGTACAACATCCCCCAAGAGGGACTCCAGTTGTAGCTGAGATCCCTGTTGAATCATATGATACTTGCGCAACTCCGTGCGGGCAATTTGTTCCAGTTCCTCCTGTAAGACCATGGCCATGATAGCCTGAGTTTCTTCATTGGCCTTTTTAAGACATGTTTTTCGAAGTTCTTCCTTGTGTTGGCGTTCCAGTTCCCTTTGTTTCTGTTGCTCTTTTACTTGTTTTTCACGAAGACGTTTCTCCTCCAACTCCTTTAATTTCCGCCTCTCCTCTTCGAGTTGTTTCTGTTTCAATTCATGCTCCTTTTCAAGTTGTAATTTTCGTTGTTCCATCTCTTGAGCCGAGGATAAAGGAGCAGGTTTTTGTGGCAATGAAAATAAATTAGACGAATCTTTCGGAGATGACAAGTTGTTGGCAGCTTCTCCAAATATTGACATTTGAGGTTTGGTTTGGAAATGTTGAAACACATTGTCGGTTTGGAAGTTAGAGTTGGCTGTAATGTTGGTTTGCTGTTGTTGTTGCTGTTGAAAAATATTGGCAGTTTCCTTAGCAGCACTACCAAAAATATTGGTGCTACTGGCCACCGGTTTATTTTCTGTGGCCTTAAAACCACCAAAAATATTTCCCGAAGCCACTACCGCAGGTTTTTCGGCTGTTGGCTTGAATATGGAAGTTTGAAATAAATTTGTATTTGCTTGAGGTGCTGTGGCAGGAGGTATCTTGAAAATAGATGCTCCTCCTGCGGATGATTCTTGTACAGGTTTAAAAGTGGTTGCAGACGTTGTATTTGTTGTTGCGACAGTAGCAGTGCCACCAAAAATATTCCCACCAAATTTAAATCCACCCGGTGAGGAGCTCCTGCTTTCTTCATTGCTGGGTATGGAACCAAATATTGATTTTACCGGTTGTTCCGGAATGGTTTGAGTGGTCGGTTTCTTTAGCAGTGATTGTTTGGGCGAAATGGGAGGAGAAGCCTGTGGCATTTTAAAAATATTATCAGTTGGTTTGAGAAATCCTGAGGCTGGTGTGGTGGTAATGGATATGGGTTGTTTGTTTTGTGGAATGACTTCTCTTCTTTCCGCCAATTTCTTTTGGGCCTCCTCACCACGTAATTGATCGAGGGCTGACCAGGCATCCGCACGCAACAAACCATTGGCATCAAAACTGGAATGGGTTTGATGATCTTCAAAGGTTTTTGAGGAAGGCAAGGAATCACCGCATATACATTCACCCACGGAGACCAAACGTTTCGATTCCACAAGCTGGGGAAGGCAAGCAAAAGGATAAGATTATTTAATTTATTTATTTATTTATTATAAATTGTTTACTTACCTTTAATGCCCGATCCATGGAAAATTCCATATCCGGCATTTGGATACGTTCTAACAGCACACGATCCTCCAGTTCATCACATTGTAGACCATGATATCCCAGGAAATTTATAGCTGCCGATTCATCATCAAATCCCAGGACATGAGTCAAATATGATAGCGGTAGGAAAACATCATTTTTACGCCAATTATGAGATTTGATAATAACTTCCATGGCCCGTAAACGCAGGCGATTAAAATAACCCAATAGAATACAAGCTTCCAGGTAGGACGTCTTCTCGCAACGTATCATCGAGAAAAACCTCACATAGTTATTATTCTGCAAGGCATTGTAGAAGGAAATTGCCCTTTTGATTTCCGATGATTGTTGTATGGCTTCGGGCAGCTGTTTTAATTCCCATAAAAAGTTTGAATCTCCCAAATTCAAGAGAATAATGTACGAACGAAATTCTGCCTCGCGAGGACATTCAACTCCCTTAATACGCAAATCATGATACATGTACTTTAAGGTTTGTAGACATTTTGTTAAATTCTCGGCATTTATCTTCTTATCGAATACTGAAGGATCTTCTGCAACCAGGCGAGCGGCGCAATGTATATGAAAACGGGCGCATTGTTCTACCAATTGTACGGCGCCCAAAGAACACAATTCTTGTTGGGTGATATCTTTGCGTATTGAACGGGTACGATCCCATACAAAATGAAACCAATCACCTAATGAGGTTTGCGGATCATCACACAGATCCATAATGCGATGCATTAAATATAGCATGGTCATTTGCAGCACGGATTCTGAGCGTAATTCGTGTGATAATGGTACCTCCTGATCGGCACTACTGCGGGAATATTCTTTAATTGCTTTCCTGTGGCATATCGTCGACTGGGAATTTTCATCAGCGTCCATTTCAAAGGTGGAGACCTAAAAGAGGGAGGGGAAAAGAAAACTTATTAATTTATTTATTTGCATTTAATTGCTTTCAAAAGTAGAAACCTAGATCCTTAATTTTATAACAAGACATGTTGATGATCCTGATACAAAACAAGTTAAAAAGTATCAGTCGGTATTGCCGACAGATATATACCCTCAGCCTATGTTCGATTAAATAATCAAAATATATTTGACTAGTGTTACAATTATTCAAACGTTTTACCCTCTATGGAGCAGGTTCCGAAGGAATGGCTAAATATTGTCTATTTCGTATCGGACCCCAAAATATGATATAAATATTCCGACGTTCCTGGTATGGATTATATCGACTAGCTCCTTCACTATGCATGAGATATGTAATAATTTTTAGAAAATGTTAAAATGTGCGTGATGTACAAGATAGAGTCTACCGAAATGTTTCACTTTTATACTTCATCTGATACAAATAAAAAATATTGAGCGAAATATTTGGCAACAATAAAATAAAGGATATTTATGTCCAATTTTATGCGAAATCATAAATTCCGATAAATTTCATATTCATATCAGGCTTCTTGTTTAAAGAAATATTTGAGCATAGCAAGTAGTAAAGAATTGCTAAATTGTTTCGAAAGTTATGACAGATAAAATTATTGAAAATTGTGACCCCAGAAGGGGTTGGCAGATATATATTAACTTCACAACCGATCTTGTGTTAGCAAAAATATTTGTATGTGTGAAATTTAAGGAGAGTTCGATGTTTATTTCGCTTTATTTGGGCTTTCGTTTTTCAAAATCTTGAACCCTATGCATGGGGGAGAAGAAATGGTTCGATCTATACCACCTTTATAACAGATCTTGTGTTGATAGAAATGTTGAGATGTGCCAAGTCTAAATGGAATCGGATGTTAATTTGGCGTTTTATTAGCTTCATGGGTATTCAAAATTTCGACACTTTGTGGGGGAGGTACCAGAAGGAGTGTGCCGATACATTCCATTTTCGCACCAGACCTTGCACTTATAAAATGATTGGGATGTGTGAAATTTAAAGACTATCGGACTCTTACTTCACATTTTATAAGATTTTTAATTATCCAAAATTTTGACCCTTTGTGGGGGAGGTCCCTGATGGAGTGGACCGATATTGTCCATTTTCGCACATGACCTAACACTGATGAAAATATTAGGATTAGCAAAGTTCCAGCAAAATCGGATTATCCTTTCTCTTTTTGTGCAAAAAATAATTTTTGAAAAGTTCGACCTTTTGTGGGGGAGGTACAAGATGGAGTGGGCCGATACATTCAATTTTCGCACCAGACCTTGGACTAATAAAGTTATTGGGATGTGTGCAATTCGAAGACTATCGGACTCTTACATCACATTTTATAAGAGTTTTAATTATCCAAAATTTTAACCCTTTGTGGGGGAGGTCCCTAATGGAGTGGACCGATATTGACCATTTTCGCACATGACTTAACACTGATGAAAATATTAGGATTCGCAAAGTTCCAGCAAAATCGGATTATCCTTTCTCTTTTTGTGCAAAAAATATTTTTTGAAAAGTTCGACCTTTTGTGGGGGAGGTACAAGATGGAGTGGGCCGATACATTCAATTTTCGCACCAGACCTTGGACTAAAAAAGTTATTGGGATGTGTGAAAATTGAAGACTATCGGACTCTTACATCACATTTTATAAGAGCTTTAATTATTCAAAATTTTGACCCTTTGTGGGGGAGGTCCCTGATGGAGTGGACCGATATTGTCCATTTTCCCACATGACCTAGCACTGATGCAAATATTAGGATTTGCAAAGTTGAAGCAAAATCGGATTATCGTTTCTCTTTCTGTGCAACAAATAAGTTTTTTGAAAATTTCGACCTTTTGTGGGGGAGGTACCAGAAGGAGTGGACCGATATTGCCCATCTCCGAACTCGATCTAAGTTTGACAAAAATATTACGATGTACCAAGTTTGAACCAAATCGGATACTTCCTTCGAGAGTTATCGTGCGCACCAGCCAGCCAGACAGACAGACAGACAGACAGACGGACGGACGGACGGACATCGCTAGATCGACTCCAAATGTTCTGAAATGGATTTGGTCCAAAGAGACCTAGGGTCTAAAACCGTTATTTCGACTAGGCACGTTTTGACCGTATCGAATTGTATATACCCTCTGTAGCCATATGGCTGAGGGTATAAAAATGTGGACCTGCATAGGCAACTTTTGTCATAAGAAATTACAATATTCAAATGCAAAACTTGAAAAAAATCGGTGAATAATGGAGCTTAAATCATAAAAATACCGAAAATAGGGAGGTGCCATTATATGGGGGCTATATCATAACGTGGGCCTGTACAGACAATTTTCTGTCATAGGCTGTAGTATCCATTACGAACTTCAAATACCAAATTTCAAATAATTCCGTTGAATAATGTCGCTAAAATCACAAAAATAACGAAAATAGGGAGGTACTATTATATGGGGGCTATACGAATACATGGACCTGCACAGACTATTTTCTGTCATAGGCTGTAGTGTCCATTACGAACTTCAACTACCAAATTTAAAACGATTCGGGTGAATAATGTAGCTAACATAATCAAAATACCGAATATCGGGAGGTACCGTTATACGAAGGTGTGATCCTGCACGGCAAAAGTGGCATATTTCGATCTAATAAACAAATCAACTGTGTTACCTTACCTGCCTCTGAAACTCGCGCATAAGTCGCTCCTTTTCCGGACACATATCGGGGCATGTACCCTTCGTTGCTACAGCCTTTTTAATGTCTGTCTGGCGGACAGTTGTCAAACGTATTAGTTTATCGCGAGCATCCAGCACACGATATTTGTCCTCATCTGTAAAGGCGGGTCTTCTTAATATAGCTTCCAATTCACTGCGAACTGAGCTGTCAATTTTTGGTATTTCCGGTTGTGGAGAATCTACACGAGTTGTCGGCATTTTTACTGGCTTGGCTATGGGTAAGATGGTACTCGGTGGTTTTGAAACTTGTTGGCGGGTTAGTGTTGTTAATTTTGGCGCTGCTGGCACACCGAACAATGATCTCATAGCACCTGGGCCACTATTTGCCGTATTGCTAGCACCACCACCTAAGTTGCGATGCCCGGGATTCATGGCATCCAATTCAGACTGGACATCGGGATCTACCCATTCTTCGGTACTCTGAACCTGAGGTGGTTTATTTTCAGCATAATTCACTTCGAATTCAATGCCATTGAATTCGCCGGCCTCCATATAGGCCCTTTCGGCATCTTCTTCATTCTCATACTCAACTGTGCAGCTTAAACGCTTGGGTTTCAGGATAAAGCGACTGATTTTGCCATATTTACTGAAATATTTCTTTGCCACCAATTTGTCGAGGAAAAGTTCCGGTATCTTTTCACAGCTGAAAACAACAAGGGGCGGGAATGAGTGTCATTGTGAAATTTCTGCCAACTTTTTGCACGATTCCACCAACTTACCTGATGGCTTTGTAATTTGTGTTATCTTCATGGGCCTCATATTCTCCATCTTCAGACATTATTTATGTGTTGTATATTCTATTAAATTCGTCAATTTAGTTATTTCTTTGTTGAAATTCTTGAATTCTCCGTGAATGTAAATAAAATGCGCGCCGACATACGCACCGACGCCAAACCACACAAACTTACAAAAACGACAATGCCTTCCAAAAAAACAAACGCCGTCACAATACACAAGAAGAACAAGAAATGAGGATGAAAGCGGAAATTCGAGATAAAGATAAAAATCAAAACAAAAACGTTTGCTTAATAGGGTTGTAGAAGACGGTTTTGTATGATAGGGCTCTAGAAGATCGAATAAAATAAATGGCGAATCTTCCTCAAATTCGTAATATGGGAAAAATAGTATATGCGCTGTTATGGGCTTCCGAAAAATAAATTGAATTATACGACGTCAAACTAAAACCAAGCCAGTATTAATTGAGAAGGAAAATGATCGATGTAACTAACGTTATTTTCATTTTTCTGTGGTGATGTCAATGCTAATCACTGTAAAATGATAACCCGGTTACCTGGCGTTTACACAACACAAATCGTCATGAATCGGAGTTGCACCTTTTGTAAGGAAAATAATGCAAATTGTTATATATTGGCATAAGATTGGCACTAATTTTTTACTTTAAATACAAAAACTATTTGGTTTTGTTATATAAAGATTTTATTCTAGTTACATATTTCTATAAAAATATATTTTCTATTATTTTTACAAAATGAAATCTACATATTTAAGTAACATCAGGTCAATTTGTACTATCATAAATGCAAATGTATTCATGTTTTTATTTCCAATTCCAAGAAATCATCTACGAATTTTGAAACACCTGCAGTGAAATCATTTTCAATATCACTCAAAGCTTCATTAAGCAAACGTTCCGATATTCTGCAAATAAACAAAGAATTATTACTGTTTTTATAAAAAAGAAAACCTGAAAACCAAACCACTCACATCGAAAACACTTTCCATGGTTCTGAAAAATTGGGATTTTTGTAGAAACGATTTTTCTCACACAACTTTAGAAATTGATTGCGATTGTTTATCTCCTGTTCGAAACGTTTATCTGATTTCATATTTCCTTTTTCATGGTCGGGTATTTGATTTTCTTTAAAGGATATCGATTGGGCCATTTGTTCCGTTATTAGTTTTGGTGACGGTTTTGGTTGTAACTTTTGCAATTGTTTGGCTGGCAGCGGTCGAAGTCGACGTGGAGTATTTTCGGATGTATTGTATGGTGACTTATTCGGGTAGAGTGGTATTGAACTGAAATTCAAAGATAAAAAAGAATTAAGGTGAGAGTACATAAACAGCTTTAAGTCTTCGCATGGCATATTTTGTGACATATCATAAAGGGATGCCAGAGCCGCACCCAAATTCTGCCGTCGTTTCCCTTTGTAATTTGACATTAATATGCCTTTAGGGTTTCCATATGTCGAAAGTAAAATGAGGCAAAAAAAGATAATATGGATTGTCTGAGAGGAAAAAAAATATATATTGGGGCTATACGAAGACTTGGACCTGCATAGACAATTTTCTGTCATAGGTTGTAGTACCCATTAGGAACTTCAAATACGAAATTTGAAGCAATTTCGGAGAATAATGTAGATGAAATTATCCAAATACCGAATATCGGGGGTACCGTTATATGGGGGCTATACGATATCGTGGTTCATATAGAAAATGTACTAAGAAGGAACTCCTTTTGTGAATTTTCAGACAATTTCATTGAAAAATTTGGCTATAATCATTAAAATACCGAGTATATGGGGGGGGGGGGGGCACCGTTATATGGGGGCCATACGATATCGTGGACCGATATAGCCCACCTTCGAACTTGACCCACTTGCAGACAAAAGACTGATCTGTGCAAAATTTTAGTTTCCTAACTTTATTCGTTTTGACTCCAGTGTGATTGCAACAAACGAAAACACGGACGGACAGGGCTAAATTGTCTTACGGTGATTAATAATATATATACTTTATGTCTAAAATTATTATTTCGAAGAGTTACAAACCGAATGACGAACTTAATATACCCTCCATACTATATATGGTGGATGGTATAATAAAATAAACACATTCAAATATTTCAAATTATCGTTCACGGACAGAGATCGGAGCCGCCATTAATCAAAGTTATATATACCTTACCATTGGCGGGATAAAAAACCCTAAATCTACATTATTGCCAAAAAATTCCCTCATGCAAAAAAAACGCCTACAAATATGCTTTAATTTTGCAAGAATTTCATTAAGTCACAATACAATGAATTAATATTGTTTACTCACTTTCCTACATTCCCTCTCTTTCTTTGATTGTCGCAATGTCGCGCTCCCATCAGTGATATCACATCATGTCACCATCAGACACCATCGCAATTTGTAGTTGCGTGACAAGTCACAAGAAAATTACTTAAGATTTAACGCATATTTATCATTCCATTGTTATATTTATAATCAAATGCTCTAAGCATGTTATCTATGTTGGAATTCTCACAAATCCTTAAATCCTTTAAAGCCATGCAAAATAATTTGAAATTTATATGTATGTAAATTAATTGCGGCCCTACGACAAGCAAAAAAACCAAGCGGAAACCAATGAAGAGGATAACAAACATATCGTGTGGCAAATGTTCATTTTTTGTTTATTTTCCCATTAAAAAGTCAAGGTTAATCTAAAAAAAAAACAAAGCATGCTTTGTCAGGCAGACTGAGAGATGTGGTATTAAATCGCTCAATAACCCGGTTCATTTAGTGGGAGAGCGAGAGGAAAGAGAAACCCCGTGTAACAAATTTTAAATAACATTGAACGGAAATAGAAAACTGTTGTCATTTGTTTATGGCTGAGAATGGGAGAGTTTCTCTATCTCTGAGTGGGAGAGTGAGAAAGGAATTTAAAACACAGTTACTCGTTTAAAATGGTGTTATTAAGTGGTTTTCATGTGTTTATATGGCGTTTTATTGTTTGTTGTCTTCGTAAAGGCATTGATCCAATAGAGTTGAATGTTAATTTAAAGGAAAAATATAATTACTTTTTTATTGATCAAACTTCTACGTTGATTTACGGACAGTATATTTAGAATTAAATGGACTATGAGGCATCAATTTTGATTGATGCTTACGAATTGTTAAGCGTAGAAAGTAATCTGAGAGTTGAATTACAGTACTACATCATTTACATCTAATAAAAATATTAGGATTTCCCCAAAAACAATAAATGGATCGCATTCCTGGAGCCATGCCAGAAAAAGAAAACAACATCGACATCAGAGATGGAAAACCTATTTCCAATAAAGTTAAATTTGACAAAGTAAAATATACAGTAGCTCCAAGCAAAACTCGTACAGCTAAAGAATTTTTTATATTTTCCAAAAATCAAAATTCACAAAAAATGTTTTTTTTTTTATTTTTTTAGTACACTGAGTCAGTAATAAAAAAGCAAAAAAAAAAACATTTTAATTCATTTAAAGTAAAAAAAAAATAAACATTAAAAGGGATCATATTTCAATGCCAAAGCCAAACTCGTACAATTCCTATAATTTAAAGTATTTCTAGACATTAATATTTTGTATGCATTCCTGCATTCCTTTACTTTTTTGCCATTTCTAGCCTATTTGGCATACTTTTAACAAGTTTTTCGGAAAAGTTAGGTTCAATTTTTTGCTATTCTTCCAACAAAGCTTTCTTCAAATCTTCTTTGCAAGATATGGTATGCTGGCGGATTTTTCTATCTAGATAGCTCCATAAATTCTCTATGGGGTCTATGTCTGGACTCTTGGTGGTGTATCCATGACGTATAAGCCTTATGTTTCGGATCATTGTTTTGATAAAAATAATAATCTTCGCCAAGGCCGAGCTTTTCCTACAGAGTGGCAAACTTTCTTTCAAAATGTTAAGGTACATAGTCTGATCCATAATACCCTCAATAAAATGTCCAGAGGTTGAAAATGAACCCCACACCATTATTGACCCACCATCGTGCTTCACTGTAGGCTTCATATTTTTGAAAAGGAACACTTCATTCATCTTTCTCCATACATAAGGTCTGCCATCTGAAGCAAAAAGGTTGAATTTGCTCTCGTCCGTGAACAGCTCATTTTTCCAAAATGAAAAATTTTTTGATATCTGCTCCTTGACAAATCGCAATCTTATTTCTTGATTTCGCTTGCGGTTTAGAGATTTATGTCTAGCTCTTCTTCCATTGTAATTCGACTTATGCAGTATATTTCTTATTGTTTGAGGCAACATAATTTTCCCTAATCATTTTCAGCAAATTTTGCAAGCTTCAGTGGACTCAAAAATGAATACTTTATGATCTGCCGTAAAATATACTTCTCATCTCACTCAAGGTAAATATTTTATTATTTACCGTTTTTGACTCATTTTCTAAACATCCATCGGCTTCCATTAACAATCTCAGACATTTCACTTACCGATTTATGGTTTTTGTAATGTTGTCTTCCCATCTCTTATTTTTTTTAATATTTACGTCAGTAAATTATACAACACGTGGAAATTTGTGATAAATTAGCCTTTAGGACAACAATCACGTGAAGTTGGACGCAGTTCGAAACAGGGTTGCCGTGTACGAGTTTAGCTTTTGCATAGAAATTTGGTGAGTTTTAGAATAAATGCCATTATTTTGTTAATTAAATAAAAACAGTAAACTATTGTTCTACGGCTAGTTCTAGTACCCTAAAGTAATAAAAATATGGGTTTCTTCTTGTAGTGAATTTGATAATAATCATATATTGCATGAAAGAAAATTGTTTGCTAAGTGTACAAGTTTCGCTTGGAGCTACTGTATATAACGGATTTATGAATGAACATTTTTACAATGAGATGTTGTCAAAGATATAATTTTGAAAAAATTATAAACATACAGTTGCGGTCAAAAAAATAGCAGCGCACCCTATCATCAATAATTCATGCTTGTATTTTCTAACCTGTGCTTTTTTTTAATTCCACTACTGTATTAACCGTTATAGTATGTGAGTGCAAAACAAAACGAGTAATAATTTTGACATTTTTATTGCACTTGTTGTTGTATTATTGGATAGTTTCAAATAGTCCACTTATTAATGCAGTCTAAAAAATAGCAGCAGGTTATCAAAATCAGAAAATATCTTTAAAATCTCAAATTTTTCTTAATCAATCGAATTAAAAAGTAAGGAAATATACAAATTGTTGTGTTTTTAAATATAATTAGTTTTTTTTTTCTTGGTAAGTGGGACGAGGAAAGCACTGCAGTGAAGATACCCGGCGTTTGATAAAAAAATTAATATTAGAAGGGAAAACTTACAAAGAAATACAACATTTGTTGAACTGTTCTGCCAAAATGATCAGAAACGCAAAAATATATGAAAAGAAAATCGAAACTAGAGGTAGAAAGTCTGTGGTGTCAGAAAAAACCAGACGGATGATAAAAAATGCTAGCACCAAAAATCCGTTAGTGCCCGCCACAGAAATAAGAGACAGTGTTTGTCCTTCTGTTAGTGTAGAAACTGTTCGCAGAGTATTACGCGAAAACAATCTGTATGCACGGAGTCCGAGAAAGGTGCCACTATTGAAAAAAATACACGTCACAAAGCGATTGAAGTTTGCAAAATCACATATTGAATGGCCAATTGAAAAATGGAGAAACATATTATGGTCGGATGAGTCAAAAATTGTTTTATATGGTGGTACTGGTTCCCGACAGTATGTAAGACGTCCACAAAATAAAGAATATGATCCTAGATATACAACTAAAACGGTCAAACATGGCGGATCAAATGTGATGGTTTGGGCATGTTTCTCGTACTACGGAGTAGGGCCAATTTTTTGGATCAAAAATACAATGAATGCCACTCAATACGTTGAAATATTGCAAAATATTATGCTTCCATATGCGGAAGATGAAATGCCTTTAAAATGGACATTTCAACAGGATAATGATCCAAAACACACCAGCCGCTTAGCAAAACAGTGGTTTCAGGACAACAAGATAGATCTCATGGAATGGCCCGCTCAGTCACCGGATCTAAATCCAATTGAAAATTTGTGGTGCGATATAAAAAAGGAGGTGGCCATAGCCAAACCCAAAAATAATAATGAACTATGGAGCGTAATTCAAGGAGCCTGGCTAAAAATTCCATGCGAAAGATGCCAACATTTGGTCACTTCAATGAAACGTCGCTGTGAAGCAGTGATACGCAACAAAGGTTTTGCAACAAAGTATTAATTTCTAGGGAATAATGCACTTTACATTAATAATAAGGTTT